ATTAATAGCTTTGGTATTCTCAAAGCAGTTTTTCTGACATTTGCCAAACGTTTTATGAATACCAGTGAACCTTCGCTGTCAGATGCAGTTTGACTTCATAGTCTTTTTTTTTTTTTTTTTTTTTTTTTTTTTTTTTTTTTTTACAATTCATTCTTAATTTTGGGAGCATTCAAAGTACCAGTGCTCTGTGATGACCTATTTGGAGGAGACAAAGGTGTCTGAGAAAACTGGAGAGTATCTCTTCAGATGACTGCCTTGAAAATTCATAATATTGAAGGCATAAGCTGATTTCACTTGAATTTTACTGTTATGAGAAGACTAATTGTCATCATCCATGTGGTACCACTGACCAGATCTGAGTACCGTACTGTTGTTGCTATTTATTACTAGGTGCTAGTGTGGGAATGGGTACGAATGTTGTGTAACTGAATACATGTTTCTGAATAGAAGACCTTGGCGGGAAACAGTCTTTCTAAAAACAATCTTTTAAAAAAAGCAAATTCAGGATATTTGTAGAGCTCTGTGTTGAAGCCCATGTACTCAGGAATTCACTCCGGTGAGGAAGGGGAAGCGAACGAAAGGGGGAGGTTGTTCTGCAGAAATGAAAGTCAAATAATAAACCCTGTGGGACTAAGACTGAGCTTCAGACTTGACTTTTATTTTTATTATTATTTTTTTAAGGAGAAAACCGCAATGATTTAGAGTACTGGTATTCTTGGACCTCTGCACATTTCAGCTTCTTCTGAATGCATAGAGAAAGATGCATATTTTTTTAATGGGAACTGAAAACTGTTATTAGTTACGCCTTTCTAAAAGTACTTCTGTTGATGCAGGACACTAATATGGCTGTTTTTTCCTCTTGCTCTCCCCCTTCTAGTCCAAGTAAAGCACTGCTGTAGCATTCCTACATCTGATCTCCTTGTCTCGTGAGGATTAGAGTCCTGTTGGCCAGGAAACAGCATTAACAGATCACACATTTCTCAAATTTTATGTCACATTAGTAAATTTACTTTAAAAATGTAAGCCCTAAATAGCTGGTGCTTAAGGAGTCTTTTGGCCTCTTTTATGAGGATATTTGCAATTTCCTGATGTAAAATCCATTGGCAGCAAGCAACTAGTCAAAAAGTAACAGAAATTTTTAACAGAAGTCTTGTTAGCAGTAGTGCTTGAAGGTTAAAGCCTGAAAGCAAAATGAGGCTCTTCAATGATTACCTTTTGTGTCCTTAAAACAAGAAATGTTAGGGCCTAGCTACTCTGATACAGGACTTGGCTGTAGTGATGCACCTTCCCACTGCCTGTCTCTGGCATCGTATGTCACGTGTTGTATGGAAAACAAGAAGAGAATGCATCAGCCAATTAATGAAGAAAGAATTTTTTTTAACTTAAACCGTTATTGGAAACAAAGTCAAACAAGTGATTCTTCTCCTGATGAATTCTTAAACAAAGGCAGCATTGACACATGCTGAAATGCCAGGAGCAGAATTCATGCCATCTGAGTGGACTCTAATGCTGGATTCATAATTGCCTGTTCTACTGGGCAGTTTTTGCAAGCAGCCGTTTCTCAGAGAACTGGGCTGCTTTAGATCTGTTTCATCTCAGAGTGCCCTTGCACAGTTGTATCACTATGTAGAAACTGAGGGTTTTTTCTGACTGTAGCATTTTGCATTTCACAAGCGCTGATTTCAGTGAACAACAAAAACGTGTTAATTTTCACTTCTTGTTTGGTTGGTTTCACTGTCCACAACATATTTATTTTGTTGCTTTTTTTTTCCTAGCGGGCTTTTTAGTTGTCTCGTTTCCTTGTCAGTTTTAAAAATAAATAAATAAACAAACTGTATTGTAGACCCAGGCTTACCTTTCCCAGAATAGTGTTGTAGATTAGATGTCGTCATATGTTGAGTGCCTGAATAATTAGCTTGGGTCAGCTTGGGTCTGTGAGCCTAAACCTGCAGCGTTGGAAGCGCATTCTGTAGTGACCCTGGAGCTGGAATGCCAAGTGGAACCACGTGCTCTCCACAGAGACCTCGTGCATTTTCTCCTGCAGAAAACTGACTAGAAGAGGGGCCCTATGACACTTTTTAGGAGATTTTTTCTGAGAATAAATGGTGAAGAACAGACTGTTGTACAGGTACACTGCATTTTCTGTTTATTGTATTCAGCTCTTTACTCTGAGGGCTTTTCTGAAAGCTCTGAGGAGCAAAGCAGCAAGGTTACTCTGGCTCAGCAGCAGGATCTTCAGTTGTGAGACTTGGGTTTTTTAAGTTCTAAAAACATGCATTTTTGTTCAAAGAAGCAACTAAGATAGTGGAGGAACTGCTGATTTTTGGACAGTGAATGACAGTTTTTAAAACTGACACGTTTATTTAAGATGTGGTTTTTGATGGAGTGAAGAGTATTATCAAAGGATTTCTGTTAGTTTATTTTTTATTTTTTTCATGACCAAAAAAAAAACCAGGGTGGAAGAATTCTGCGGTACAGACCGAAACAAGAAACATCAGTTTCATGACTGTGGTTTATCCACAGCTCCTTTTCCTTTCCTTGATGTCAGGTCGTTCTGTTGCAGGGTGAGCTACTCAGAAGAGATTAGGCTTTTTGGTTTTGTGGGGGGGGGGGGGAGGGAAATACACAAATATTTTAATTACCTGTGGCAAACTAAGGTCGTTCCATTATCCCAATAATAACAAGCTGATTTGCCAGCAAATTTATTTCAGACTGAACAGTTTTTCAGCAGGAAGAGGTAAAAACTCCATGCATCTATTTTATGCGGGAACATCTTGTATGTTCTCATCTGTTGCATAAAAGAAATATTGCAGGGACCTGTACTTACTTATATAGCACTTCACAAAGTCTCAGAACAGTTTCTGAATGCAAAATTAAGTACAAAGCAGTATGAAGTGTAAGTATGAAGGCAATTAGGTAATATCTGTATTTTGCAAATGGGAGTGATAATATAGTTCAGGGAGGTTGACTGCACAAGACCACATTGAACCCTTAATAAAAACAGAAATAATGACTCGCAGACCCAGATTCCTAAGGCTGTGCTTACCTCTCAATACAATTGGTTTCAGTCACTTCAGCCTACATGATTTGGCTGCAAGAGTAGAGAGGTTCTAATGTACACGCTGGTTAAATTATTCCATTACCCTGCTACCTCTGCTTGATTTTTCACTGCACTGATCTATGCTCACGTGTTAGTACTTTATTGACATTCTAAGTAGAGTTGTGCCTGAATTTCTTCTTAATCAGATTATGGAAGTGGAGTGGAGAGTTGATGTGAGTAGGTGACGATATTCGACATCAAATTGTTGTTAGTAGAAAATATTTGAATTTTAACTTCCAAATTTGTTTGACTGATTTGGGGACCTTGGTCTTTTTCTACAGGCAAGCTTTTATCATAGTTGTAGGTCAGGTACTCAAGAATGTCGGGTCAGCACAGAATAAACTTGGCCAACATGCTGGGTCATGCTTAGTTCTAGCCAGCAGCATTCTTGACAGTTACTGTGAGTACCACTTGTAAGCCAGGTCTTTGGTTAGCATTTGCCTGGGTGTGCTGTCTTTTTGCCAGCACTTTTAGCCACTTAAGGCAGCATCTTTTCTTGAAATGAAAAAATAATTGTGTGAAAGTCTGTTCTTTTTCTTTTCTTATTTTTAAGAAAGTTACTATGCAACAGTATTGGTAAAAAAAAAATACATTGTTTTTCCCGCAGGATCTCTCAGAAGCAGTGTGTAAATGTTCAGATATAGTACAAAACCTTTTTGTTTACTTATTATTTGATTATTCCCAATGCTTAGCGCTAACAGTAATAGGGCTCTTCACATGCAAAACCTTTCAGGCTGAGATTTGCAAAGTCCCAGTGTTCTTGCCAAATTTACTTCTTTAAAAGGCATTCTTGGTTGCTGCTGGTAGCTCAAGCCCACATTTGACTCTGTGCCAGTCCTTTCCCATATTTTTTTCGCTGTAGGGCAACTTTTGAATATAAACAGTCTTAAACTTACTTGATTTATTGTGAAGATTTACCTTTCTCATATGGCTTCTTGGTGTAACACCTGGAGATGCTTGCCTTTCCTGATATTAAACATTTTGTCGTGTAAACGTTATCGTGTATTATTGATCATATTTAAAATACGCAGCATGACTGGAACTGCTTGCAGGGTTTTAATTGGCAAACAGCTTCCTTACTGAAAGGAAAGTATCTTTTTTCCTGTGAGAAAGCTATTCAATCTAAGATGTTTTCTTGTTTTGCACTCTGTTTTGTTACTAGATTGGTCTAAAATACGGTGTTCTGTGATAGTGCAGCATAGTAGAGAACGATTAGTGCACCTGCTGCACTTGCAGATGGCCACGAGCAATTAAAAATATATATATTTAAATGACTTCACTTTCTGATAAGGCCATTTTTGGTGAAGGCTGTGTGTGCTCTGGTGTGCTCCCGAGTGCAGACTGGGAGCTCGGAGAGAAGGTCGCTCAGTTTGTGCAGTCAGGGGGGTGATTTTGGTGCAGGTTGATACGGAACTGTGAGGACTTCTCAGGTAAAGGGAGTGTGTGGTGAATAGGTAATAGTACCCAATACTGTAGTCATTTCACTGAAGAAGGACTTAATTTGTTTGGAAGTAACTTAACTCACATCTGAAAGGTAACTGTTCTCCTGTCCTGCTGGAGAATTCCTTAAGTACGTTTCTGGTGATTTTTATGTAATACAGCTTGAAAGCAACTGATGATCAGTTGCAGAATTTGTTGACGCAACTTTGGGCTTTTTTGTACAGCTTTTATGCTTGCCTCTAGCAAATTACTTGCATGCAGTATTTTATTTGTTTCAAGTGTGGTGCTTACGGCTTTAGCGTGAAACCTAGCTATAGACTGTAAAACTCTTCCTTGAGCGGCTTGCTTATGCTTGTGGCGGTAACCTTTCTGCAGGGGATTGTGCTGTTTATTTACAAAATTCCATTTTCCAATTTTAAAAAGAATATTTTATTAAGAGAGTCTTCTTTTTGCCAATTAGGTCAAAGTCCTAAAATTTTAAGACCTAAACCACATGGTTTAGAGCGAACTGATTCACAAACCATAGGTGACTTTACTACAAGAAGAAAGGGTATGTACTTTAGCACTGTATGTTTATGGAGCTTTATAAAAATAAGACAAAAACTAAAGGAACTGTTATTTTATATCTCTCCTATAGTCTTTTTACTTCTATTATAATCTAAGATCATGGGTGCATATACCTTGCTGAGCGAAAGATGTCCTGTATAGGAAAGTCAAAGCTTTCTCTTGTAAAGAGCGCATGAATGCGTTGTTTTGGCTTTAACATAGATACTAAGTCTCTTAAATTTTAGTTATTCGTATTCTGGATTTACTTTTTTCTTTCCTCAGAAATATGTATATGAAATATGAATGAAATGAATGAAATATGAATATGAAATATGTATGTGAGAAATATACTCACCTGGAAGTTGCTTGAAATATCTTTCATTAGGAAATGGTTGTGAATTCACAGTTTACTTGGGTCACTTGCTGTTGGATAAGTATTGAAGTAAGGCAAAAAACTGTTCCCGTGACCATACATTGTTGCAGAGATTTACGTATGAAACTGTATGAATATCACAATTAGTCTGGGTGTTATTTAGGCTGTTGAGTTGGCTCTTCATGTGGTCACGTGTAGTAGAGCAAATAGTAGATAACGTTAAAAATCTCACAGAAGTTTTGCTGAACAGTACCTTTGGTTATTAAAGCCCATTGCAACTGGATGAACCATTGCTTCTGTTCTCAGAGGGCTTTGCACAAGGTCCTTACTCTTTCTGCTGGAGTGGTACCTTGGCCACAGATTATACCTGCCATTTAGCTTCTGCCCTCCACAGAGGGCTGTGGCCAAACTGGTAACTATTGTCGCTCAGTCTTCAGTGTCATCTCACCTATGTAAAGTTCAGCTCTGCCACCCTGTCTCCTGCGATACCTGGCACCTTGACATAGGTGTGTTGTCGGTCCTCTTCAGAGGCTGTGGTGACAGGTCTTATATAAGCAAGTAGAAGTGGCGGAATTACTGGATCAGGCTTGATGTGCTTTGAGTAATTATGATCCTCTAATTAAAGGGGAAAACTGTTAGGGATGCTGAAGACTGATACTTAACCAGAAAATGTGAATCATGCATCCTTATGTTTGGTATGTAATATAGCTGACTCCGCGATGAACTCTATCTGAAGAGAGAGCATAACGAAAGTGTCATGAGTGCAGTTCTGTTTGTTCCTTGCAAGATGACCACACTGATTAAGCAACTGATTTCTGTCAGTTCCTCATGTGGTCTCTTAAGACAGCTTTTACTCTGCATGCCTGACATTTGATCTTGGTGAATTTGTTAACACGCCGCAAGCAGATGATTTGAGGGGTGGGTGGTGGGGCTGGATGTTACTGAAATGACACTGCATTTTGTTTATTTAAAACAGTTTTTAAGAAGGTAAAAGTTCAGATTACAAGTACGACAATAGTTTGTGTAATTTTTTTCTCTGTGAAGTCTCATGATCTTCCTTTAACATATGTATATTATTGGCTAGGAAAGGGTGAATTGTAGATATTGGAGGGAGGGATGATGTTTCTCACTAATACTCAGCTTGTGGTTCTGTTCTGAAAATAGAGCTTAAAAATGGCACTTTAGCTGTCTCTGGTGGCACCAGCATGCTGCTGCTCTGCTCTCTAGTTGATGATTCCTGAAGCAAGCCAAGCACCTTTTGGCATTGCAACTAGCTACTGGCTCATCTCTCCATTTTGCAAACTTAATCATAGTTGAATATTTTGCTCATACTTTGAGCTGTGAAACCTAATCCGTAAGGAGACTTGTGCAGTGAGGGCAGAGTTTGCATAGTAATAATAGTGCACAAGCCAATAAAAGCATATGGAGTTGGCAGTGCTTGCATTTTAAGGCTGAAACTGTCAGTCATCCCTTTCTGGGCTTATCAGTTCAGCAAGTCCCCGTGCCACGGAACTTGATGCCATTTTCAGTCTCTTTTCAAAATAGAATTACTATGTACTTGTCTATGTTGCAAAATTCTTAAATTGTGTTTTTTTTTAAGTACTGTTGTTATTCTGTAACTGGAAAGCATAAAACATAAGTTATTACGTCATAGCTTTGTGAGAATGAAAGTGTCTCTTTTTAACTAGTGTTTACTGTTTAATAAACAGTATTTCTTTTTGGCATTAGAAACTTGAAAAGCTATTAAATTTAAGTTTGCTTAAGAACGTTCTATGCTTGTGTTCTTACGTAGCAAAACCAGCTCCACTAGAAATAAAACCTTTGCCTGAATGGGAAGAATTACAAGCCCCAGTTAGGTCTCCTATCACCAGAAGCTTTGCACGAGAGTAAGTTTCCTAGCTTTTCTTCATTTGGATAGTTTCTGTTGACTGTAGCATTAATAATGTGTATATACATCTGTGTTGTATTTTCAGCCTATGTAATACAGATTGAAGTTTCCTCTGGAACTGTGTGTATGCATATGCATGCATTAAGACAAAAGTATGTCAATATTAATTCTTATTTTGTAATAATGTATGTAAAGGACTGTATATCCAAACTATGAGACGCTCTAGTAATCTTGAATGAAGATTCCAGCTCTAACGTGCTTATTTCTGTTGTTTACCAGGAGGTTTAAGATATTCAAGATGTATTGTTTGTAAAATAATTCCTGGTAATTAGCTCCTCCAGGTTTCCCATGTCTCCCAGACCGGATTCAGTTCATAGCACAACTTCCAGCAGTGACTCGCACGACAGTGAAGAGAATTATGTATCCATGAATCCAAATCAGTCCACTGAAGACCCAGTATGTAACATCTACGTCTTAACTACTCTCTTCCTGTGCAGTCCTTACTTTTAAATCATGCAAACACAAATCCTTCCACTCAACATCACCTTCATTTGTACTTCTAGATCAAAATTGGAAAAGAATAAAATTATCCCTCTGCTGCAATTGTAATTTTGATTTCACTAAGGAAGATATGAGCATAGTCATGTAGAGACTGTGGTTAGCGTATGTTTGCGCTCTGCAAAATAGATCAGCAGATTACTTATTTTTCTTTTTCGTAGAAACCGTCTTGTCTTCAGCAGATAGTTCTAGACCATGCAGCAGTTCAATATCAGGACGTGAAGGAAAATGTGCTACCATAGGTCCTCTGAGACAGGCCTAGAACCTTTATTGAAAGGACATGTGAGAAATGAGGAGGGTCCAGGGCAAGGAGAGGGGACTTTCATACGTTGCTTATTTTTCCCCTTTTGGGGAGAACTTTTTTGGATGGTGATGTCTCAAGTATTTAGCATCTATTGAAGAGCTAGGTAAGAGAAGTTACTGATATGCTGTGGATTTTTGCTTTAGTTTTCTTCAGGAGAGAGTATGAGAAAATACAAAAATTCTGAAGTGAAAGGATAGCAGTAAACCCAGGCCTAAAATGAAACACAATCCATAATACCCTTGAAACACTGGGGGAAAATCTGCACTTGTACCTCAGTTTTTAGTTCACAGTAGTTTCAGTGTGATTAATGTGTTTTTGCTGCTTGGATTTCTTAGTAGAGAATCTGTTTTTCATCTTTAAAGCCGTATCAAGCTGTGGTTTCCAAATCTTCTTTGAGGCAGAACCTGCTTACCTCTGTTTTTGTTCTTTTCGTTGCTCTGCTGCCTTATATGGCATGTGCTATCCCATTTCACTTAACCCTTGTCTCTTGGCAGTGCTGCTTGCTACCCTATTCCCTGCTGTCCCAGATACCCTCCCCGGTCTCCTCCAGTCTCCTTCTCCTCGTGCTCTGTAGCTGCCTATGGATGACACCTTTTATGACCCCCAGAGTGAGCCCCTCCTGCTGGTTTCTTTGTGGCACTTGTGACTCGGTGCGAGCCAGGAAGTCCTGGCTCGCGCTTTGCTCCATGTCTCTCTGACCTGTCATCAGCACAGGTGCGCTTCCTAGGTGAAGTGCACTTCAGCAGTGGGGAGCCAGTGGTGTAAAAACTTACCTCCTCATAGAGTACTGTGCGAGAGGCACTGGTAAGTAATCAGTCACATCCCCTTATACAGATGCAGGAGATGTCCTGTTTTGCAAAGGTTTGGAATCGCCTCCTACCCAGTAAAATTGCAGCATGGCAATTAGGAGTGGGGATTTCTGCTGATTCTTACAAGGAGTGCTAAGGTGGTGCTTTTAGTATTGCAGCTGAGACAGCCTATCATTAGTATCCTTCTGTTTGCTTGCACCATTTATTTTCCAGGGTTGTTCTACAGATTTTCTTTCATCTTCATTTAAGTGTATTTTACGTTTGATTTCTTATACCTACGTTCTACCTGTTTAGTTTGCTTGAGATAAAAAGATGTTTAATGACTAAGGCTTTTTTTTTTCGTAATTTGTGCTGGAAACCTTAACACAGATGCCGCTTTTTGTGTTAAATATGAAGAAATATATTTAGAGAATCTGGGCAACAAAAACTTGGCCTGTTGTTTGTTTGTCATTGTTACCACTTACTACGTTGGATGATACAGACGTAATGTATAACAGCATGGATTTTAAGAGCCCAGCCTGTTTAGCTCTAACCAATAAAATATTTTATTTCCTAGAGAATCTGAGTGTTTCCAGGTATCCCAAGCCCTTTGTTTTAAAATATGCATAGACTATTCAGAATTTTTTTTTTTTAATTATTTTTATTTTTATTTTTTTTTCTTCAGCTATATCTTAGTGAGAACTCCATACTTTTAAAATCCTTTTCTGTCATCAGCATTGAATCATCACTTGGACATGTTGCACTTCTGTTTTATTTAATAAAATCAGCAGTGTTCTGCTCTCTCCTTCAAGTTGCTGTCAGCCTTACCCTTCTGTCTGTCCTTCTGCCTTCCTCTTCATTTTTTGCTGACTGCTGCCCTCTGTCTTCCTTTTTTTCTTTATCTTTTAGAGAAGAGTCCTTCTATTGTACTGTTCCTATAACACCTGTTAAGAGGGAGGGATCAGGCTGGGAGAGGACAGAGGAGGTGAGGTTGTAAAAGTCTGGGCTAATTGAAATGTAGGTATATGCAATACGACTTCAGTTTAGGCAGTCCTGCACAAATTATCCAAAGTGATAATCTTTTAGTTTTATTAACTTGAATAATACCTTTTGGTTTTAAGTTTAATTACAATAGCTTTCATTGAAATTGAAAAGTTGTGTTTGAAGCTTTGCTACTGTGAAAGGCTGAAATTCTTCTAAGATACCTAATAGCAATTTTAAGTTTTTCTTTTTTTTAATTGTAGTTAAGAAATGTTAAACTTGAGATGTGAAACACCAAAGCAATTCTTTATTACCTCATGGTATGAAAGGGGTATTAGGTGGAAGGTACAGATTGATTTGGTGACAATCTTAACTTTGGGGGGGCGGCTTTTGGTTTCCTTCCGTCCACTCCCTTTGGCTTTTGATTTTGTCCCAAGCTGAAGATTGTTTCATTTTTGTTTAATTTGACTCTATCTACTTGTTGCATAACGTCAACAAAACTTGCATGGCTTATCTGGTCGTAAAATCTCAGTTCTTTAACCTTCAGTGTTTTGACAGTTAATAATAAGCATATTTGACAGTTTGGGTTGTTACTGTGTACATTCGCAGCTGAAGTTCTTTATGTTACAATTTCAGAATTTGTTCGGTAGCAACAGTCTTGATGGAGGAAGCAGCCCCATGGTAAAACCTAAAGGAGATAAGCAAGTAGAATATCTAGATCTGGACCTAGATTCAGGAAAATCTACCCCGCCTCGTAAGGTAAGCACGTCCTGACTTTTCGAATGATCGGCACAAACAGCTTGGGATTTCCTTACAAGTAGCTGCTGGGAAAGAGCCTCCAGCCGTATCACCCCATGCAGTTTGTCCTCAGGTCAATCAGAGGGGCTCTGTCACACTCTCCAGAGAAACCTGTGCTTGTTCTTTATTTGCTTGGGATATGTACTTAATTTTCTAATGAATAAATTATTAGTTTAACTTATTTTTTTCATTCTCTCTTGCCTTTATCCAGAAGAAGAGCAGCGGTTCAGGCAGCAGTGTGGCAGATGAAAGAGTTGATTATGTTGTAGTTGACCAGCAGAAAACGCTTGCACTGAAGAGCACGCGAGAGGCATGGACTGATGGGCGACAGTCTACAGAATCAGAAACACCCACAAAAAGTGTGAAGTGAAAACACTGCTTATTCTTCAAAGAACGGAAAGGAATGAATTTTGAAGATTTAAAGAACCATAATGGCCCTGTTGCTTGACTGTACGGTATTCACTGGTGTGTGAATAGGTTTTTGACCGAGTAGGACGGAAGCCAAAGGACGCTTCATAAGCATCAGAGGAGTTTAAGATCATAAATTGGCTATGTGGTCTCTGGAAAATTTGCAACCTGTAAATAACGTGTAAAATAGTACCACTTTGCTTTCAGAAAACCTCTCGTTCTGTAGTTAACACGTTTGTAGTATTACCATGTTTATGCACTTTTTCAGTTACAATGTTGGTTCAGGTATTCCCAGTTAGTGTACCTTAATGCCTAATTCATTTGCAGAATTTTTTTCCTTACACTACTATTCTTTACAATTCTAGGTTAATTAAGCTACGTGTAGATATGGAAATGAATATTTGAACTTCATTTTAACAACTTAAAATCAATTTTTTGCAGAAATGCTTTCACAATAGAATAATCTACTTGAAGTGTCAAGAGGTAACCGTTAGTTACGTACTTGTTTATATTTAATACATGCAAAAGATTATTTGGAAGTCTGCAGGTTACCTTCCTAACAAAAATTGCTGTGATTTAATAATAATGACCTATACTGGGTTTAGACCTACAATACTGGCTTATATGTTAGTTGTTAGCGGTGGAACTTCTATTGTATTTTATTAATGACAGTGTTCTGTGTTTGATAGGTGAAGATTCTGCAGGGTGGGATCTCACACTTTTTAAGACTGAGTAATTAAATATCAAGTAAGCCTGCAAACCACTGATGGCATGCAGTAATATTGTGATCTCACACTTATTAACAAGAAATAACCTTTATATTATTTACAGAAGGTAGAGTATATAAATCAGGTACGTACCAAGCACTATTGTGCTAACACACTGATCAGGTTTAGACAGTGAGCTTTAGTTTTGTACTGTTTAGAAGTTCTAATGTCAGTTTTCAGTTCAAGATTAACGGGACAGTTTGACATTCACTGTTTATAGTACTAGCAAAATACTGTGATTTTGAATTAGACATTAATTCAAATGGAAATACTATGTTTCGACACCGTAGTGCCCTTCTTACGATCTGTATTTTACTTTAATCTCCTGCTTGGCCTTATATTTAAATCCCTATGCAACTGATATTTTATATCTCTGTTTTAAAAATTAGATCATGTACTTAAATGATCCCCTCGTAAACCACTCGTTCCTCTTTCCTGGTACAGGATTTTAAGCTCTGTATACTGTGATCCCTTATTTTACTATGACAGTTCCAAATAATAATCTGCCTTGATTTAGAAACAATTTTTTTGATATATGGAAGAAAATAGAGCTCTTTAAATACGTGAACAGGATAGATTTAGATAGAAAACTTACTAACGCTTTTATTTTTTCCTACAACTGCCCTTGAGTAAGCTATCGGTTTTGTTTCACCCCCATCCCCCCCATTGTTTTATTTTGTCCAGGTCACTTAAAATTTGAGTATGCAGCTGTTTTGTTTTCTGACATGTTGGCCTTAGTACTGTGCCTAATCCACCGTTCGTTGGTTCTCTCCCCTCGCAACCACAATCTACCATACGTAAATTATGTTATTTTTAACGAAGGTTCTTTTAAAATTAGTAATATTTTGATGCTTTGAATGTTCATTAAAAAAAAAAAAAAAGCTAAAAAATGGATTTTGAGGTGAATTTTAAATAAATCAAGTTGTTCAGTTTCGATGTGTAAGCTCTGTCCTGTTAAACAGCAGTTGGGTATTAATGTGTTTGTAAAAGTGCCTAGATTTCAACTGCTTACTTTCTGAAATTGTACATTACGTAGCTGTCAAAACAAAAAACGTTGAATTAATTTTCAAAGCAAATCTCTGCTTTCAAACCCTGCTGCAAGCAACTAAATTAATCGGAGTCCCAGCCTCCTGGGAGCTGGGAAAAGCCATGTGAGCCAGGGGACCTTGAAAGCTTGATCGGAAGCGTATCAGATCCTGAAGGACTCTGGAGGTGAAACTCAACTCTGCTTTGAAGTTACTATTACTGCATAATAAACTGCTCCTCACTGCTGCGATGGCTGACGCACTCACAGATACATCAAATACTTGGAACGCTTAATGTGAAGGTAATTTTGGTTTAGGATGCTGGTTTTAAGCGTTTTATTGGTACAGTCATAGCAGAGCGCTTCCACCGAGCTGCCTCTAATTTGCTAACAGAAGTGATGAGATAATCACTGCTCTGGTTTATCAGCCATAGTTGTTTTGATGCTTACTGTTAAGGGAAAGAGTCATACAGTGTGGTCCAGCACTTCCACAGAATCTTAGAATCCTCTTTCAACCTTGTTTCTTTTGTCTCTCCATAGACACTTAGATTAGGGGAAGAGATTTTGGAAGGGGTGCTAATTGTTTTCTTATTCATAACCCACCCGTCCTTGAAACATCTACTGGCTCTGTGCGTGTATTTATTTATTACTTAATAACTCTGTGGGTTGTTATAATGGAACACTGACTGACACTTGTATTTAGGTATCAGTAGTATTTTTTCAGGTGTCCTGAGCATCTCTGATATTGAAGTATAAATGCCTCATAGAAAGTTTCCTAGACTGGCATCTCTTACTGAACAATTGTTACAAGGCAGTTTTGTTCTGTTTTATGACATCAGTACTTGTTTTACAGGTTCTGCTTATTCTTTCTTCATTTGAAATTTGACAGCATTCAGAGTGTCAATTACGAATTACACTCTACTATTTTTATACCATTTTCCTTCTTTTTCTTAATGAAAATAATAGCTTCCAACGTGTAGTGTAATGCTATGTAAGTAACAGGCTAAAAGTTATCTTTGGTTTCATTAAATTTCTAAGCTGTTTTCTCCCCTTGTTTCCAGTAATAAGTTGCCTACTTTCATTTAGTCCAAAGAAACAGAGACATGCTAACTCTTGACGACATGTCACGTTTTCACCTTAAAAGCTAGAATGGGACTTTGCGCTTCAGGTTTGACAGAGCTCTAGGATTTTCAAAGGGTGTGAATATTAAATTGAGAATGTAAGTTATAAAATTAAAAGTGGTAGAAGGAGAATTAGACTTAGCCGTAACTTCCAGTTATTAATTGTGTGAGGATGCTCTACTAACGAGTGGATGCTGGTTGAAGCTCCAGTAGAAAGCAGTGAAGGTGCAGCTTGTCAGAGTTGTCAAGTGTTCCTCTTCAAACAGGCAGGAGGTTCTGTCTTGTTTCTCTAAAACAGGGTTATCTTATAGTGTGGGTGTAGTTTTCACTGCTGTGCGTCCATTTAAAATGAGCAAATTTAAACTGCAAATACGCATCTGGATCTTGCTCGTATCAAAAGAAAACGTTAGCGCCTCATGCGGTAAGATAGACTCCTAAAGATGCCTTGCTGTATCATCTCAACCATTGCTTTCTCATAAAGGCTACTGGCTACGCTTCTACACAATGTGACTTAATTGCTCTTAAAGTGCTGATGCAGATACATAGTCATGTTCTCCCAGAAATGTGCAAAGTGATGTTGGAAAAGATAGAAACATGAACGTGACCATTAGTCTTTTTTTACTTGAGATTTTTGTTTATGTATTAAAAAGAAGACGATTCACTTACGTGTGGCAGTTGTGATATAGTGACACACACAGGTTTTGCAGGCAATTACAGTCTTGCAGTGTTACGTATCATTTGAAATGCATTGCTACATACAGCTAAATGGGGACTGATGGGCAGCTCTGTATCTTTCCCATTGTACCGAGAGCTGAACAAGATCTTGACTGCAAACAAATTTAAGCTTAGTACTGTTTGTAATGACTAGCTGTGAGCAAACCTTCCTCAAAAGCATTATGACTATGGGCTGTGGATGAGCCAGAGACCAAGCTGTGAGGTTTTTGTTAAGCTTCCGTTTTAACTAAACAAGTGGCCAGATATGCTTGGATGTATTCCTGTTTGGTGAGGTACAGAGTGGGACAAAAAAAAAGGTTGCTTATGAACAGTGTCATTGCCCTTGAGAGCTTCCCAGTGTATGCTTAAGTTCTGACATCTTTGGTATGAATGTTCAGTAACAAAAGTGGGAGAAGAGCAAGTACTTGCTGCATGACTAGGTGAGAGGCTTGACATATTACTAAACAGCTAGAACGTTCTGATGCCAGTGGATCTCATTGAACATCTTCGTTAAGAAATCCTTTGTTTTGGAGGATTTAAAAAGGTTGTATGCTTGTTTTCACTTGTTTAGAAGAAACAATTTGTAGGGGAGCTGTTAGGTCGCAGCTTGAACTGATGATTGAGCAGCTGGTAAAGGGCTGTGGCTGGTCCAGGGAACACAGGCAAATTGTTTGCACCTGTGCTCCCCATGCGTCCAAAGGACGTAAACTCAGGTGCAGCTTCTCTGCTCATCTATGGGCCTGCCACTGAAGGGAAAGCGTAGTTCTGACCTAGGCTGCTTCCTGAGAAGGAGTACCATACAGCCAGAGAGCCCCTTCCCATTTGGGAGACTTCCATCCTTTGTGCATATGACTATTGGCCTACCTGCAAATAATTAAGCTGGTATTGCCAAGAACCTGCCAGAAGCAATTTCACTTCTTGTTAAGCGGGACACAAGTTACCTGAAGTGTACAGTTGAGTAACCTGCAGTGTCTGTGCATAACGTCAGAAACGCTGAGCATTTTGGTGAAATGGACTATGAAAGTATCTCATCATGATGCTAAACTTAGTGAGATGAGAAATATTTTTTTGCTGTTACTAAACCACAAGTCATGGGGCAATGCCTTTACGTCTGTTTTAAAAACGAGAAGTAAAAAACGTACTAATTTGGAAATATTTTAGCCAGATGTGTCCAAAGATCTTGCATACAAGAAATCCCATGGTTTCAGAACCTAGAATACAAAATAATTAAAATGGAAACCCTGAAAGCTTTCTTTCAGTTATTTCAAAGAAAAAGAAAGTCTGTATAAATAATCTTGGTACGTGTTTGAAGATTCTTACAGGCTTTGTTGCTAAGCCTTTTCCCAGTAAGTTGGATCTGCAGTGAAACCAGAAGAAAATGCCTATCGCATCAGTTTCTAGAAATGCTCGTAAGAATTTGGCTGCTGCTATCATAAGATTTTATTGAATGCTGCTCGAGCTTCTTCTCAGCTGCAGCTGCTGGGTACTAGTATGTAGATGGGACTTGCCCAGGTGTACCCATCCAGGTGGCCTGATTGTGTGCTAGGAGGTGGCATGGAAATCCAGTCTTGTGGAGATATTTAAAAGGTGCAATGAGAAGCAGAACCGTTCTTAGCATTACTCTGACGATTGACTGAGAACTTTTGAGTATGAAATAAAACATCTTTGGTGGAGGAGATAAAATCCAAAATGCTCACGGTAGGATGACTTAGTATTTTATTCAGGTTTAGCTGTTTCCCTTTAATTGTAGGAGAGTTGAGCTGTTCCTAGACTAGCTGTAACCAGCTAGCGAGTAGCTATATAACCTAGCAGTGCAGAGTCCAGCATGTGCGTGAGGAACACCACTTTTAAGAATGCTTCAAGTAGAGCACCAATTTCTACTTAAAAATCCAGTTTACAGAAAGCAGGTTGCTTCGTGGGTCATTGTTAGCAAATGTGGAAAAATGTAACTGAGCAGCTGAAAGTTGCCTTTACTATTTTTGGACAGAATAGGAGGAGGAGTAGAATTGGTGCCTTATTTATTATCAATTTCTACTAGATTTTAAATAAGAGACAGTCAGAGACAGTCCCTGAAGATAGCATAAAAATACACAGAAAGTAATCTCTAGTAATCTCTACTTGGTTTTGTACAGTTGCGCAGTGAATTTGCACACACTATGCAAGTTAATTGCAATCATTTTAGTATTTTCTTCCCTTGCCTGTGAGTGGTAAAAGATACTGGCTGGGAAGTTGCAGAGATGCATCAGACTGGCCTGTTGGAGTACCTCAGTGTGTGTCTGGAGTTAATTGCACCCAAATGGTGATTGAAGCCTTTGCTGAGGTTGTTTTCATAGTAATACATGTACATATATATTTATTGCTGTGTATTACTTATAACAATAATACTTACACATATATGTCATACTTTGCTTGGAAAAATAGTTGTAGTTAAGCCAGAATAATAAAACAAATGGTGTGCAGTTGTGCTCCATAATCTCTAGATAGGCCTGGCGCAACGTGTTGAGAAGTTATTGAGTGTAATAGGATTGCAAGTTCCCAAGCACATAAATCCACTGATCATTTGAGGAGCAGGCTGTCGTAGTCAGGCAATGAAGCATTCACCGGTAAAGCAAGTACAAGTTCCAAGCATTTTCTGAAAACAGTCGTACTTAGATTGAGGTATGTAAGTACAAGTTTAGGAATTAAGTACTTAAAACACACTTTTTAACTCCTATTTTTTGCTGCATAATATATTCAGGATTCATCGCTTCTTTGTTACTGTTAGTTCTGCTTGCTTGTATGCTTCACGTGAAGCACTTAACTTTTAAAGGCTTTCTAAAAAAGAAGAAGATTAAGCAGAAGGGTGGGTCAAAATTGGGATTTAGTCTCTCATCGATCTCGCAGTGACCTTCTTTTTGTTGGTATGCTGTAGAGAGCAGCTACTCGTAGTTCCAGTACTCAGATTAGAAGTGAGAAGTTTTGTGACCGGTGCGAGAGGGGCACCAACAATTTTTGGAAGTAAGGAGGCTGAAAACTGCATAGGTTCTTGGAGGTGTTTGGTGGGTAGTGGTTCTGCTTCACTTGTTGGAAAAGGAAAA